ACCGTAGATATCGTGTGGAAAAGGAAGCCCATAGTGTATCATCAACAGCTCATCTACCCATAAAGAACCCGTCTCCTCCTTTGCATTGAAAGAATGTCCAAGAACCTTGGGGAGAACCCGAATCACAGGATTCCTAATCAAATTGAGCTTTGCCTTACGAGAATTCGCAGTGCAAAAGGAAGGTCCTGAACCAATCAAACCCTATAACTCAGTAGCAAAGGGAAAAGTAGGAAATTTGCAGCTCGATATTGTCCTGTCAAATCCATAAAGATCACACAACTCCGGTATAAAAATCTCATATAAAATCCCACTAGAAAGGTAGGAAAGGGTTCCCTCATCTGCTTGGTGCAGAGCAATATCCTTGTACCTAAGCTCCACGGAAGCAAGAAACTGTCTAACCAAATCAGGATACAAAGGATACGTCCTATACGCCAAAGTTCCAAGTCACATCTTCCTCAACATGGATCCAACATCCTCTGCAATCCCATTTTCTGCAATACCCGTGGACATAGAAATCGTGTAGGAACCATAGAGACCTGACGCAACCCATTGTAAAATATACTGTTGAACTCATGCCATGCATGACCAGGCTTGCGTGAACAGTACCCCAGCAATTTCTGCACTGCACTCATATTAGTATGAGGAATCTCCTCAACATTCCTACTCGGAGGGAAAGTTGTTCCCTCACTGCGAGGCCAAGGAGCTCTAGTATGCAAGCCTTCATGGTCGTGCTCCATCTCATCATTCGTAGGATGCGAAGAGGATGCGATTTCCTTTCTCTTTTTCGTTGAGCCCTTTTTGGATTGTTGTCTGGAAGCCCGTGTGGGTGGCCAGTGAGGACCAACCTGTTCATTCGACTTAGCCATCTCCTGCAAGATCAAAACAAGACCAATGTTTATAAAAAATTTCTCTAACAAAAGAGAATAATTGACTTTGCACTTCATAAGCATGAAAGCATGAATTTCTAGCAAGGACATGCATCAATTAAGTACATTGTTCTCCAATCATAGCCAAGGTTGCAACAAAACATGCTCAATCCGTTTTTCCACACAAAAGTCTCAAAATCCACCATAATTTTCAATTTCCCAATTCCATCACTCAATTCAACGAATTCAAAGCATGGGTTTAGTCGAAAATCACTATAGGAATGCATAATAAGCAACGAAAGTACCTAAATCAACCCATTCAAACTCGAATTTTACCTATTTCTCAAAAACGTCGAACTGAAAAAGTGAGTTTAGGGACACGTACCTTTGCAGATCGAGTGAGAGGTTGCTAGAATCAGAAATAGGAGGAAAATTTCGTGTGAGATGGACCCAAAAATCAATCAAATCCGTGAAGAATTGAGAGAGTTAAGGTTTATCAAAATTTTCTCCTAAAACCTCTAAAAATCGCGACAGAAGAAAACGAGAGGAAGAGGGGTTTTTGATCTCTTGAAAATCAGATTTGTTGATCTTAAAACCGTGTAATTCCGGTTCGATTCGAGTGGAGTCAAACCGATTTAAACCGAATTAAATCAAACCAGAAAACTTACATGGATAGTGGATCGATCGATCCACATTCAAATCGGTCGATCTTCTTCGGCAGATTGAGCTGGTCGATCCTGAGACCACCCGACGATTTGGCATTTTTTCTCAGTTTTCCAGATCGATCGATCCTACTAAAGGATCGATCAATCTGCGTCTCCGA